CTCGCTCCCAGCCGCCAAGTAGGCATATCCGGTATTGGCGACGAAAAAAAATATTAAAGCATTTCAACCTACAAATAGTTACAAAATAGAATGGGGGCAAACCTAGAATGGGTGAGGGTTAAGCTTATGTCCTAAATGCATTCTACTGGCGTGGCGACGTCAAAGCAATGCTTTCGCCCATACCGGAAGTGACGATATTTTAAGATGGCGGCGCCCTTGTGAAAAAAAAGTCTATACACTTAGAAAAGACCACGCAGTCAACCCCACAATACAATGCCCTTATCGTAAAGGACGACGTCAGAGAGTTTTGGGACCTACACGTGGGTGACCTCAGGAACACGGCGACTGCTGTGCTTTGTACCCCAACCCTGGCAAAAGCTTCCCGAATAGTAACACCGCTCCAAACATCTTTCTCTCTCTCTCTCTAAAAAGGAAACTCTGAGGTGTTGATAATAATCGCTGGAGAAGGGAACAAGGGGGACGCAGGACAAGTACAAATCTCCAAACACAGCCAGGTGACTCGTGCGCTTGCACCTTCGCATTAATCATAATATTACAGTGCAGGCAGCTCACCCTTATTGGTGCTAGCTGATGGCACCTGAAAAACCCCGTTTGCTCTACTTACGTCTAACTCCCGGTTAGCTCAGTTGGTAGAACACTGCACTGGAAATGGAGAGGTCTCTGGCTCGATACCAGGACCAGGAGGACTTTTTCGGTCGCGCACCTATCTGTGGTTGAAGATTTGTTTATCCTTTGTCCCCCTTGTTCCCTTTCTCCAGGGCTTATTATGATCATTCATGCTTATCTCGCTTGCACCTTTGCATTGATCATTCCAAGGTGTCGTTCACAACCTGAGGAACTTTTTGTCGTGGCTTCCAAGTTGCATCGAAACTTGGGTTATGCAGTTTTCGGTAGACTCTATTCTTATTGTTGCTTTCTCGGCTTTTTTTTTTATATCTTTTACCAAGTTTCGAGTAAAAAAAAACTGAACGAAGAAACACAAGGAAGCTGCACGACTTTGTGGCGATTCTTTTACTGAAGTCTATGCTGCGCCTGCAAAAGAACCGCCTTCGACATTTGATGTGGCCATCGAGCTCGTTCAAACTAATGGACGTCTATTATTCTCGCTGTAACACCATTTATTCACGTTGACAAAGGATGTACAGCCTAATTTGTTTGCCTTTTTTTTTACTTTCTATTACGTTTTGTTTATTACTTATAAATACGGTAAAGACAAATTTGGTGGAAAAAAAACATGGTTGTTTTTCGCTGCTTTTGACTTGCGTCATGGCTACTTTTATTAACCGCCCAACGGCAGGACCGTTTTCTTTAAACCGATAATCACCGTTTTGAGCCTTGTGAAGAGTGTACACCGGTTTTTATAAAATACACCGGTTTTTATAAAATATGTAAACACCGAAAAACATCCCTTAATTTTTCTTATTAACATCGGAAAATACACGCCATAGTTATACCTGGGGTGTGCATTTTCCGTTTTTATTAATGAGAAAAACCGGCGAATGTTTTTCGGTGTTTATTTGATTTTTAAAAACCGGGTATCTCGGTTGGAAGACCCGTGACAAGGCTAAAGACAGTGATTATCGATATAAAGGGCGATCTAGTTTATTTATATTCGCGCCAGATACGTCGCCACCGAATTTTTAAACCCGAAATGTCAGAAAAATTGAAAAACAAATTAGGCTCTTTACAGCAACGTGAATAAATGCTACCACAGCAGGAGTAATTAAGGTTCATTGCTTTGAAGATATGCGTTCTCCGATGTCAGTGGCCTTGGACCAGACTGATGTTGGCAGTGTCGTCCAAGAGCAACAGCAACCTCTGTATAAATACTGGAATTATGCAGAATCCGCGATATGACACGTTTGACGAACCTCTACGGGGAAAAATTTCGAAAGAAATTATCCCTCACTAGGGCAAAAACAAGCAATGACTGGTGTTTTGCGGTTTAAATCAAGGCGAAAATACACCGGTGTTTTTGGTTTTCACTGATTTTGTATTTTCAACACCGGTGTTTTTCGGTTGAAACCGGAGAGTGCAAAGCCTAGTTATAACCCACTGACGCTCTCACATCTCCCCAAATTAAATCTGCCATTATACTCGCGGTCAACTTTCTGTGGCTATGCCGCAGAGGTAGCAAAATTACTTTAAAAAAGTGAATAAATTACATTATTAATTGCTTTTCTGAAAACTGCAAAACTGTAACTAAATTACATTACAAATTATTTCAGAATAAATGTAATGACATCACATTACAATTACTTTCCAAAAGTAATGCAACTATTGACATTACTTTTCAATACCTTGAAGCAGTAATTCGTGCTCAATTTATTTACAGTATACTATGTACCACAAGTCACATCTTCTTGTTTACACAACAGCCTTATGCGCCTCAAGGTGAACCATACTGGCACTCGTTTTGCTGGCGCACAAAGCATGTAAGTGTTAACCATTAGGAATAGCTACTTCTTTAGATGTGACTCAAAAGCAGTCGACTCCCAGGTTTCGCAGGTCATTCAATGGTGAAGGTACTTAGTTAAAGGGCGGTATGTTTCCGTCTTCCTGATTTAGAAGACTGATATATATTCCGTGTCAGTTTGTTAAGTCTGGCCATGGGGAGCTCGTTCTTACAAGGGGTTGTCACGTGAAACGTTTCCCTTTCGCCTCGGACGCAGTCTAGTTTTATTCACCAAAGAGCACTATAGCTGACGTATTCCCGGTCATTCCTCTCAAAGTGTATTGTTCCCATGCACCCGAAGAGCCCAAGTTATTGCGCGTTGTCACTCAAGGGGGCTGGATATCAGCTAGGCGGAGGCGTCGCCAGTCGAGGAAAGGGATTGTGCGAGCTTCCTAAAATGTGTACTTTTTTCAACAATATCTGCTCGTAGACTGATTCCCGTATGAACTTCACAAGGAAAGGCAGCGAGATATACCGCGAGCCGCACCTACTTTGCTGGATTCTCGTTTTTTTTTTTGTTGTTTTTTTTTTCGACTACAAGAAGCACGTTTTCTTAACAAGGCCAAGGATATGCAGGAAACGTTCTGAAGCTTTGACAAGGCATATGGGATTAACTATTCATTCCGGTCGTTGGTTGTTCACAGTGGTCGAGGCTTACGGTCTGATCTTGCTTGACGAAAGAGCAAGAGGGCTGGTGATCTTCCTGTCCTGTCCTCTCAGGTTTTAAAGTGTGTTTACCTCACTTGTGATGTGCCCTTCGCCTTGTAGCCTAAGAGCCGTTCACCCTTAAGTTGACAGTGCGGTGGAATCTACGTGCTCGTTGGAACAGACACACGTGATAGTAGAATTAACTGAGACTGCGGTGATAACAAAAAACGAAAGAAAGAAGGAAAGAAGAAAACACTTGTTTCCTTCTTCCCGTCGTTTTTCTGTCATCACCGCAGTCTGGAGTAATTCAACAATTATAAACTTACACCAGCTAACTTGCGCCCTAACAATTTGTTCGTTTACTCACACGTCTATATTTCGCCACGTTATCACGCACTCGTTCATTCACACGAGCAGAGAAAGAGACGGGTCACGTGATCAAAGGAAGATGGTTGATTGGTTCTGGTGAGCTCGTAGCTCCCACCGCACTGTCAGCTTAGGGATGACCGAAGTATCGCCGTGATGATGTGGCGCCATGAATCTGTCTTGCCTGGAATTCGTGAGCCGTGGCCTTCCGGCGATGTCTTTATACGTAAGCTTTGCTCCTTTGCCTTTCCAGCCCGCCTTTGTGAGTCTGTCGAGCTCTTTGTACGGGGCTTTGCGCTCAGATGACCATCGTTCATTTGCTCTGACGAATCTTGCATGACCTTTCACCATAAAAAATATATAAATATTTTTATAACTCACAAACGAGGGTACAATTCGTATTTGTGAAAAATGTAATTTCAAAAGGAATGAGTAATTTTTTTGGAAATTACTGCTTGAAAGTAATTCGTTACATTACTAAATTACCAGCCTAGAAAAGTAATTCATTACTTTACTTATTACCAGAAAAAGTAATTTAATTACTGTAATCTCATTAGAATAATGTCTGGACTGCCATCTCTGCTATGCAATCAAAGCTATGGATGCACGTGCGCTTGCGCATCTTGAGCGTCCATCAAAGCAGTGCACGCGCGCATTTCACTTTTGAAAACCCACAGAAAGTAGTCCGCGAGTGGAGTCTCTTCTGCGTGTCATCGCGATACAAAGGCACTGAAACTGCAATGGACAACTCACTCAGATTAGTGTGTTGGTGACGAGGCTATGCGTCAGTGGTATGAATAAACTCTCCCCAGTGATAAAGTAAAACGACTAGAAAAAAAAAACGAAAAGATTAGCTATGACTGCGTCCAGGAAGTATCTGAAGTAATGATGTTTAAAAAAAAGCAAAAGAGGACGGGGGACAACCTTCTGTGGCTCGGCAGTCAAAGGCACCAAAGTTTGTGGTTGAGCGCCTATTCAAGCTGTTCACGCTCACTTCTCACCGGAAATGCCACAGAAATACTAAAGGGGGCTAACTAAAGAGCTTCTGGCAGGTACCATCATGAGAGTCGGGTGCGCGTGGCGCGTGCCTTCCTCATATGCGGAGTAATGAACATGCTCATACTGGGCTGCCAGGTTGCTTGCTGGACTGTTGATGTAGAACAGTGCAAAGGGTGCAATGTGTTTCGCGTTTTGCCTTTGTCTTTTCCTCGCCTTTGTCTTTTTGGCGTGAGCGGTATCTGTGATAAGCCAATTGACCTTTGTGTTGAGTTACCCAAGCATCAATAAAGAGAAAGCTGCGAATGTAGTTACATGCGTTGATGTATTAATCTGTAGCTGAGCTAAAGCAAAAATGTCACTGTCCATGTGCGCGTTCATCAATAAGGTACGCGCGTGCAGCGCGCGTAACTATAGCTTCACAGCATCCTTCTTGGTGCACCCCAAGTAGCTTTCTTGTAGGGATGAGTCTGCTTGTGCTTGTGACAAAGCCTCGAAAATTGGAAAAACTTACGGCAGAATCTGCTGAAGCCGAAATCTGTGAGCTTGACCGTGTTTTCGTCCTTGAGCAGGACGTTCTCGCACTTGAGGTCCCGGTGAGCAATGTTCTTGTTGTGCAGGTAGTTGAGGGCGCTGGCCAGCTGGCCGAAGTAGCGCCGAGCGCGCTCTTCGCCGATGCGCCCGTGGTTCTGAAACCGGAAAATGAGATCGGTGTGACACCCGACGTCCTCACTGACCTCATAATCATGTACGAGAATGTTTGAGAAAGAAGTAGATGTTTGTTTCGTTATATTAGGAATGCGCGCGCACAGCGTTCTACGGTCGATGACAGGTTCAGAGTTCATGGGATGCTCCTTCCACCTCTTTCCACTTCAGCAGAGCGAACGCTGGAGAGGACCTGTTATCTTCTCTCCAGCGTTTCATCTGTTAAAGTGGAAAGAAGTGGGAGGAGTTCTCCTTGAATTCTTAACCTGTCACCTACTATAGCAGGCTCCATATAAACAAAAAAGGAAAATGCGCTACCTTTCTCAGCCGTTAACTGCTTATCGAGGGAACTTGTAATGACCGAGGTCCAGAAAGTGTGCTTAACTAAAGCCGTGGTTGGCCCTGCATCACTCATCAAAGGAAAAGCTACTCCTCTAGTCACGGTGCAGACTATTTTCTTCCTGCCGACAAGCAGGTCTGCTCCGCAAAGATTCATACCGCGGGCTTTTGCCATGGGTTCAATAACTGAAGAAGGCGCGATTTTGACCCGACATTGGTGCAATTGAATAGCCTTCTTGAAGCTCTTTCTAAACAAATGTGTCGGCCATTGTATACCATTTTCCGATTTCCCGGCTTGAGAGACTTTTCGCACGAAGTTGCCTGGGCGTGGCCCGAGCGAGCGCGAACAATCCTTCGAGCAATCGAGCCAGATCATGTTTGCCCCATTGGGCAACGGCGACCTATATGGATGTTGAGGAAGACGCACCGAAGAATCATCGAACCGGGTATCCGACAGGGGGCAACCGTTCTCGCGAAACGTTCACGAAACCAACTATAGTCACCTAAACCTTAAGAATCGCAGGACATGTGGTTACCCCCGGGCATGAACGCTTCGCAGCCAGCAAGCTCAAGTCAAGGCATTATCTTCAATAAGAACGCCGAGGAACGAGCCACAAAGCAAAAAGTGTGAAGATGAGGAGCCACGCCCTGCGTTTCTTGAGCTGTCAGTTATACGGCAGGCAACCCTACAAAAAAAAAATATATATATATATTAGTTTTCACAATATGGAGATTATAGAACTGGAAACCTAACTGGAATTGTTTCTGGAAACCTGAAATCCAAATTGCAGAAAAAGGAATAATTTCCAAAAACCTGAAATCAAGACCGAATCCAGGAAGATTTCCAGTTCCATCATCCATATAGCGAAAAGTTGTACTGGTTTTTGCAGTAGGGAAGTGTTCCGAAACGCGTATTTTGCGAAAGGGAGCGAAGGGCACGCCAAAGAAAGGGTAACATAGAAAACGCGCGGCGTAGGCGAAAAATCCCATAATGCAACGCGCAGCAACGTGTGACGTCACGCGTCACGTGAGATGACGTGACACGTGACGCTACCGACTAGACCACGCACACACACGCTTGCACGGCTCGGGAACGAGTGCGGGTTTGTCTCAGAAGGCTTTGCGAACGGGGCCCGATAACGCTATCGCGTTCCACTCCTAAAGGCGAAGCTTAAGCGACTCCCAAGTTGTTTTTATTATGCGAATATGATAATTGGGAGTTTTCGTAGATGGTTTTCGCCGTTTCGCAACGCTCTGAGAAACCCGCTACGATAACCGGAACTTTACAGTCAAGACCATCGGTACGCAGGCGCAGTAGCGGCTTCTTTGTTGCGGAGGGCTTAGCGGAGGGGGAAACGCGCTCTACGAAAACTCCCTTATAACACCGAAACGTTATGCTTTGAACAACTTGCCATGCTACTACTCCATTCTATCATATATCGCTATTCTTGTCCCCAACTTTCAAGATGATGACGTGTAAACTGCAGGTTCCTCAGTCGAATAAACTTTTTGATGTATTGCCACTACTGAAGAGTATCCAAGTTCATCAAAGTGTCCAGTTTATTCCTGGGTATAAAATCTTTTCATGATTGTATAAAATAAATGCAGTCCCTTCCCAATATTATGACACATTCTGTGGTGTCTAAGAAGTGTATTACATCTGTAGAAAGATATATCTTGGAGGAACTTCACGCAAATTTTTGAGAAACAGCCAAGTTCAAACGAGCACAATTTAAAATTACAGCAAAGTACAAGATTTTACATACAACTGCACTAAGCCAGAAGAATCGATATGGTGCTGGGTACATTTAGTTTTTTCTCAAAATTGTTGTCTAGAGTTCCTGAGACCAATTCGGCTAATAAGATTGAATCGTTCCTGCTTTGACGGTTGTGATCATTTCCAGTATTTTTCTATTAGCATTATAAAATAGCAAACAAAAAAAACTGTTTTATATTGCGATAATCTAAAGTTATAAAAATAACTTTTCAAAATATTCTTGCTAAATATTAGTGTTATGAGATCATAACAAAGTGGTTTTCTTCAAGGAGTTGGAGCACTGCGGTGAGTACCCAATTTATGAGAACATGATTGCTCTCGTAAACTTAACGTTCAGACGTCAAAAGTCATGCTTCATCATGCACTGAATGTTTACATTAAATTAATTAACGCAGTCGTCCTGCACACGCAAAAAGAAATTCGGGAGAAGAGCGTATTGAAACATCCGACTTGATATCTGTGTTGTACACGCTCCTCAAAAAGAGGAACGGAAGCTCGTTCCTCGTTCCTCTTGATTTTTGGAACGCGTTCCCGTTATAAGTTTCATCTGCGAGAAAGGAAGTCGTTCCCATTACAGTTTCAAAAATGGAACGTATGGTTAGATATACGTGACATATTCAACTTACATTTGTATCTTGCAAATTACCACATTTATTTAGATCAAACCAAGCTTTTTTTTTTATCTATCTTATCAAATAGCAACATACGAATTTGAATGCTGCGATGGAAGGACACCAGGAAAAGAAAACACAAGAAAGCAAGATTTCATTTCTTAATATATTCGCTTTTAAAAATCTCAGCGTTTTGCCGAATTCATGATTGTAGTGGGCTAAGCAGGCGAGCCAAATGTACTGTTGCCCCACATTGCACGACTGTTTTACAACAACCTCCCACATTTCAATCAAACAAGCTCCCGTGTTCGAACTTAAAGGAGCGGTGAAACGATATTCAATTGGAATGTTTTTCACTTTACACAAGTTTACTGGCACTGGTGGGACTCAAGGATACTCGCACGCAACGCCACTGGCCAAGAAACTCCTTTGTTGCTGTGTAATTTAAAGGACAAAAGCGACCATTTTCATTCAATCTCTCCTTTGCAAAATTTGATGACATAACGTGGAGATCGTAGTACACCCAAATGACGATATTTGAATACGGTTCATTGATTGGACCCGAGCATTGCGTGGTCACTCGATTTGGGCTCGTGATAATTACTAGCTCGAGAAGCATTCGGGTTCTCCATTTGCCCGTGTCCAATCGTCGCAACGACGTCAATAGCCGAGCCATAACAATGTCTGGAACTCAGCGCGTGTCCTGTGCTCTGCCCGTCTCCCGTCCACCTTAGTTAAACATGAGCCAGGGATCTACCGCCAAAAGAAAGGAGTTTGCATTGGTTCATGCCTCGCCCCTGTTCTCAGCGAATTATTTCTTTTATTCGTTGACAGAGCTATAAAAGCACAACTGGACATCTCCGCGCCTGGCTGCCATGTTTTCAGATATGTAGACGACTACCTAATCATTCACCTTGATCGAACTTCTCCAGATAGCATTACAGCCGTTTTTTCCGCCTGTTCGTCAGGCCTTACATTCACGAAGGAAGAACCTTCGAATGAAGGTCTTCAGTACCTCGATTTGCGGCTTCATGTCAGTGCCACTGGACTCTGCTGGGCCTTTCAACAAAGGTCTTCTAAACCTGTCCTACCGTTTTCTAGCGGACATTCGAAGTCGGTAAAACACGGTATCATCAAATCGTTGTTTCCTTCATCCTTCACGAAGTCTTGCTGTCATCTTTCAGAAGATTGCTTCAAGTCGCAGCACATGAGGCTCGTCAGGGCAGGGTTTCCCGTCGACCTTTTTTGATCAGTAATGAAAAGGCTGATTCGCGGGCCTGATCGCCAGTCACCAGCCACAAAAAAAAAAAAGAAAGCCCGATTTGCCGTCATTCCTTACGTACACAATTCAGCCCACCGGAAAATCCATTGCCTCAAAGTTCGACACAAACGTTGTCTTCTCGTGCCGCATGCGTCTTAAACAACTCTGTCAACAAGTGAACAACAACCGGATTCCGATTGGCTGCACTGTTAAACACGAAACGAAATTCATTCCATGCAAAGAAAAGAAAATTTACTCCGTCCCCTTGAGCTGCGGCCATCAATACATAGGACAGATCGGAAGATGCACCAATCACAGACTCCGCGAACATCACAACGAAGTTTCTAAGGCCTCTCCAGATTCATATCATCCTATAGTCATACATGCCCGTTCGTGCTTGCGTTGTCATCCCCTCTTTGATAAAACAAAAATCCTGGGGGGTGCATGAAAGCAGATTCGGCAGGGAGATCATAGAATCATTCGCCATGACCACAGCAAAAAACAACGTGTCAAACCCTTCCCACCTGCTGACGAAAACAGGTTGAATTTCTAAAATCCAAGAGAAACCCACCACTCTGACTTGCACTTCGCGTTTTCTTATCTTCCCTTCTCCCCCCTTCTCCTCCTGGGTATAGTCGGCTGCTCGCTGTTGAAAGTTTACTCGTCTGTTGCTAGTTCAAAGATGTGGTTGGTGTTGTCCCTGTTTTAATTGTTTCATTCTTTCTTCATCCATGACTTAAACCAACACGCTCTTCTACCAAGCATTGTTATAGCAGCAGCTTGTAGTTGAGGGCCCCAAAGTTTGTAGTCTCCAGTTAAGAACTTTGTCGATCTCAAAAAGTTCCTGGAAGAGGCGCGGGTGCCCGAATGTGAAATGATGAACGAATACCTGGAAATAGTCGATTCATGTTTATTTCGAAACATGCTTCTTCAAAGATGGCTAATGTTATAGGATTTGCCATAGGAGTAGCTTATCGTCGAGGGTCCTAAATTTTG